ACCCACACACACCCACACACACTATATATATATGTGTGTATGTGTGTGTGTATTTGGGTGTATTTATGTGTATATATATATGTATATGTATATGAACATATATATATATATGTGTGTGTGTGTGTGTGTCTGTGTGTAAGCTGAGGGACCCGTCTTTGTGCAACATTGGAAAATACAAAGGATGGCACAAAAACAAAACAAAAAAAAAAACACCAGGAACACAATGCCCCATAACATAGACATTAAAAAGCAGTTTCATGAACTGAAACCCCTACCTAAACAAACTCACAATAACTCCAACATAAGCCACACACAAACCCCAACACAAAATCACATACAAACCCCAACACTAAACCACACACAAACCCCAATACGAAAACACAACAAAAAAAAAAAACTCACAAACAACAAAAATACAAAGACACCCATACACACTCAACAAACAGAATAAAACACAATTCAGACTTATGCTCAAACCATAAATCAACCCCACAGCTTAACAGCAGGACAGAATACAAGAAAAGATGTCAGAACCAAACAAAAATCAGTCAGAATTAAATATAACACCAGAAAAGAGAACCCAAACAAAAAATAAATGTAATCAGAAAGGAAAATAATAAACAAATAAATGTTGAAGATTCCCCAATAACATGGACATTCCCAACACCACTAAAAATGAAAGAACCACAGAAACACAAAATAAAAACAAAGAAGACATCTCATGGACAGAAATAATAAAGAACACAATGACAAGAAATGTTATAAATAACAAACTCAGAAAAAACAATTATTGAAGTAATAGCTGAGGCAATAATAGAAATAATTCCAATATCTAATAAAATCATGAAAGTACTATATGAATAAGATCATATTTTGGAACGCAAGATCAGTACATAATAAAAGCATAGATTTATACCACCTGACAAATAAAGAAAAAACAAACGCACTCGGTTTATGCAAAACCTGGTTGAAAAATAAAGATAATTTTAACTTAAATAACCTTAACATTATAAGATGTGACAGACTTGAACAAATAGGAGGACTAGCTATTTGTATAAAGAATAACATACAATTTAAACAAATGAATTTAAAAGACAAACTAAAACAGAAATAAGAAGCCATGGCAGTAAAGATCAGCTACTAAAATAATTGGATGAACATTTCATTGATCTATAATCCATGCAATAACCTAAGCCAAAAGGACATAGAATATTACTCAGAACAAATAAACGACCCAAAACTAATTATAGGAGATTTCAATGCGCATCATGAAAGTTGGAATCCAAATTCAAATCTTAATCACACAAACAAAACAGGCAAAAGTCTAATTGAAGTAATAACAGAAAATAATATAATGTTATTAACCCATTCCCGATGGGCATGGCATGTATATACATGCCATGCCCACTGCGAGTTTACTTGTTTGATTGTTCTTACACACAGATGACTACACTTATACTAAATCACCAATGAGCCAGTTACGAGCACTGCCTGTCTCGCCCGTTCACCCTTTTCTTTAAATCATGAAAATATTTTACGTTATCTTATTTTGCTATCACTATTGTCTATAACATTATGGTAATTATAATGTTTATAATAAAAATAACACCATCGATCTTCATAGCACTAGTAAAGAGTACGTTTTCCCGCCAATTCAAGGAAAGGGGAAATCAGGTAAGGCAGATCCATCTATGTGTAGACATTTCACAAAAGATATAAAAAATGAGCTCAGAATTTTCCCCATTTTTTATTCATTTTCCCTGGTGGCAATGGGTTTCCCCTCTTGGACAAATCACCAGAATAGAACCCCTAAAAATGCAAAGGGATCTACACTAGACTTAATTCTAGCTTCTCCTACCCTAAGTCACCTAGAAATCGAAACAGGACCAAATATAGGAAGTGACCACCTGCCAATAATGGTAAAAGATAATACCCTGCAAAAGTCCTCTCAACTAAAAGTTCAATAACGAAGGATGGATAAAATATCAAAATAATTAAATAACACTGATACAAATAAAATAAATTAATTAAGTGAATTGAAAGACCTTATTAAAAACACACAAAAAAATATTTCAAATTTGATGAATATGATAACAAATTCAAATACCATAAACCATGGTGGAATGATTTTTTTTTTTTAATCATAAAAAAGAAACAAAGCTTACAATAAATTGAAAAAAAAAACAATGAAAATCTAGAATAAAAAAAAAAAAATAATAATAATAATAATTAATAGAAGCCAGAAAACCTATAGAGAAAGAAAAAGAAACTTGGGAAAAATTCTGCTGTTCATTAGACTTTAACATCAAAAAAAAAAAAAAAAAAAGAAACTTTATAAAAAAGGTAACAGGAAAGAGAAAATAAATCAATTACCCTTTAATTGACAACAACCTACCAGTCATTGAAATAGGAAAAAAACTAGAAATATTTAAAGTAGAATACCAAAGAATAGCAAATAAAAAAAGAAATATAATATTAACAAATAACGAAAGGGAAGAACTGCTAAACAACCCTAGTAATTTAGAAATAACTGATACGATCACAAAAAAGGAACTAATGTTAGTGATAGAGAATGCAAAAAATAACAAACCATATGGACCTGATGAAACTCCATATGAATTTTATAAAAATTCTCCGCCTAAAATCCTAGAAATAATAATAAAACCAAATTTTTCTTGGACCAAAGGAGAATACCCACAAGATGCTAAAAATGCAATTATCAATCCTATTTACAAAATGGGAAAAAATCCAAAGGAATCAAAGTCATACAGATTCATTAGCCAAATAAATTGCTTTGGGAAAATATTTGGAAACATAGTAAATATAAGATTAAATTGGTAGCTAGAAATGAATAATAAACTAAACATAGACATCAAAAGATTTAGACCAAATCACACGACAATGGATGCCTTAAAAACAATAGATACAAACATAACTAAACAATAAAAAAATAGAATATGCTCTAGTGGCTTGTATAGATCTGGAAAAAGCATTCGACTCAGTAAATCATGTCACACTATTAACCCATTGCTGCCGTGGAAAATGAATAAAAAATGGGGAAAATGCTGTGCTCATTTTTTATATTTTTTTTTGTGAAATGTCTCTACACATAGATGGCTCTGCCTTACCTGATTTCACTTTTCCTTGAATTGGCAGGAAAATGTACTTTTTACTAGTGCTATGAATATCTATGATGTTATTTTTATTTTAAACATTATAATTACTATAATGTTATAAACATTAGTAATAGCAAAATAAGATAAAGTAAAATATTTTCGTAAATTAAAGAAAAGGGTAAATGGGCGAGACAGGCAGTACTCGTAATTGGCTCATTGGTGATTTAGCTCCAGTGTAACCATCTATGTGTGAAAACAATTAAACAAGTAAACTCACAGTGGGCATGGTACGGACACGTGACATGTTCGTCGCGAATGAGATAATAAAAATGGCCAACCTTGGAATACTTACTAAAATGGATACATTATTTTTTTAAAGAAACAAGATTCCAAATAAGAATAGGAAACCAAAATTCAGACAGAGGAACAATAACTGAGTGATGTTCCACAAGAATCCCCATTAACTCTTTAACATCGTGATAAAAGATATATTAACAGTAGAACTAATAAAAATAATATACTAATAAAAAAAATAATAAGTACATGTAAACATCTAAATGAAGCCATAAATCAAAATAGATAATGCAGAACTAGAATTTACTGACAGTCAAGATATCCTGGGTTTAAAATTTGACACACCAAAACTTGATTGGACAAAATACATAGAAAACATCAAAGTAAAAGCTATTAACAGAATACATATAGTGAAAAAAATATCCTCATATAACTGGGGAGCAAAAAGAGAAGCCCCAATGAAATTCTATAACATCTATGTAAAAACAAAAATAGAATATGGCCTGGAAATTTATAGAACAGCAAAACAAAATGGAATTAAAAAAAATAGAAATGATACTAATCACAGCTCTGAGAATATCAATAGGATGGCCCTATAATATCACTCCAAGCACTAACAAACCTTCAGTAAGCGACAGAGCAAATGAATTAGCTAGTAAAATTAATGGATAAACCAAAGAACATGCCAGTAAAAGAACTAATAGTAAAAAACATTAGAGAGTACAATCACAACAAAGAAAAAAAACTGGATTCACAAGTCATTGAAACTTGCAAAAAGATTAAAATCAACATAAATATAAATGAACCACAATACCATGGTATGACCTTTCACATAAACTAGTAACAAATTTTATGGACAACTTCAAAAAAGACTTATCTCATGAAATAATTAAGATGCAAGTTCCAAATGTTAACCAAAAACTATGAAGAAATCACACGTGAAACACAAAAACTAATTTACACTTTAACAAAACAAAACAAAAATATCATAATACATTGGATCCCAGCACATAAAAACATAACTGCAAATGAAATAGTAGATTTTGCAGCAAAGGAAGCTCATGAATTAGAAAATTCCATAACCATCACCCAAGATACTAACAACATAATAAAAGACATAAAAGATGAAATCAAAAGACAATGGGAAGAACAGCTACAAAAATACCCTGATCACCTGGTTACCTGGTCTAGATCAGAAAACAGAAAATTAGATGTATGTCTTACAACAGGGGTCTCAAATTCAATTTACCCGGGGGCCGCTGGAGGCAGAGTCTAGGTAAGGCTGGGATAACTGGGGAGGCAAAAAGAGAGCCCCCAATGAATTTCTATAACATCTATGTAAAAACAAAAATAGAATATGGCCTGGAAATTTATAGAACAGCAAAACAAAATGGAATTAAAAAAAATAGAAATGATACTAATCACAGCTCTGAGAATATCAATAGGATGGCCCTATAATATCACTCCAAGCACTAACAAACCTTCAGTAAGCGACAGAGCAAATGAATTAGCTAGTAAAATTAATGGATAAACCAAAGAACATGCCAGTAAAAGAACTAATAGTAAAAAACATTAGAGAGTACAATCACAACAAAGAAAAAAAACTGGATTCACAAGTCATTGAAACTTGCAAAAAGATTAAAATCAACATAAATATAAATGAACCACAATACCATGGTATGACCTTTCACATAAACTAGTAACAAATTTTATGGACAACTTCAAAAAAGACTTATCTCATGAAATAATTAAGATGCAAGTTCCAAATGTTAACCAAAAACTATGAAGAAATCACACGTGAAACACAAAAATTTACACTTTAACAAAACAAAACAAAAATATCATAATACATTGGATCCCAGCACATAAAAACATAACTGCAAATGAAATAGTAGATTTTGCAGCAAAGGAAGCTCATGAATTAGAAAATTCCATAACCATCACCCAAGATACTAACAACATAATAAAAGACATAAAAGATGAAATCAAAAGACAATGGGAAGAACAGCTACAAAAATACCCTGATCACCTGGTTACCTGGTCTAGATCAGAAAACAGAAAATTAGATGTATGTCTTACAACAGGGGTCTCAAATTCAATTTACCCGGGGGCCGCTGGAGGCAGAGTCTAGGTAAGGCTGGGCCGCATCAGGATTTCCCCAAGAAAAGCGCGGATAAAACATTCCAATGTTCTCAAATATCTTTATTTTTAACACACAAAAAAAAAAAGAATAAAAAAAATAAATCAACCAGTAATAAATAAATAAGATAATAATAAGGATCATACAGCAGATACAGACGACTGAAGAAACCACATATTGACTGGCTGACCAGAGAAAACTAATTATTTTAATTCAGTTTCAAATGTCTGTATTAACAGTTCTTTAACCTTCAACTTTCTGAACATGAATAGAACGTTGAACAGGAAACGGCTCTAAAAATGGCTTCTTTTGCCTACGTCTTGCTGCTAGAGACCTGACAGCTCTTCTTTTCACATAGCCGAGCCATATTTGGCTTGAGAGAGGAAGCAGTGGAGAGACTGAGTAGGGCTTGAAGATGCTCATCAGTAAGTTTGGACCTGCACCACCCTTCAGAGCCTTTTACCCCACCGTCATTGGTTAGTTCAGCTCCGCAAACAACAAGTTTTATTCATATCAATCTTGCAGGCCGCACTAACATTAATCTTTAATATCAAGACGGGCCACAAATTATCGCCCCGGGGGCCGCATTTGGCCTGCGGGCCACGAGTTTGAGACCCCTGTCTTACAAGAATACTAACTAAACATACTAGACTGATAAAAACACCTACACAGATTAAATTCAGAAACTGAACCGAACTACAGATGATGCCAACATCTAGAAGAAACAATAGAGCACTTAACATTACAATACCCAAGATTTCACTCTGACAGAACCAAATTACTAGAGGCACTAAAAAAGATAAAAATAACTAATCCAAGTATCTCTCTACTCATAACAGGGGAAAGCCAAACTCCTGCAAAGAAGTACTACATACTGAGACACATGGAAGTCTTACAAAGAACAAGAATAATCAATATTATATGAAACAGAGACCAAATTAATAAGAGAAGATAACCTTCAAACAACAGAAAGAAGATCCAAAGAAACAAGATCCAAGGAATATAGACATAAGAAGTCTAAAACCCTATAAAAAAATATATATATCATATATATATACATATTATACATATATATAAATACACACAAACACACACATATATGTTTATATATGTGTACATATGTGTATACATATCCACATAGGCAGAGGGGCGAGCGCCCCCTCAGAATGAAAACTTGAGGGGCGAGAGTATATCTCGGGTATCACTCTTACAGTAGACATGTTCAAATGGACATCGCCCCCTCCCCACCCCACCACAACAGAACACATAAAAATATACTATAATTACACTATATCTCATTTTACCAGAATGGGTATCACTCTTACAGTAGACATGTTGGTTTCCGTGAACTTGATTTATCAAAAGTATTATATAGGTATAGTGGAGTATAGTATATAAAGGACAGACTTTCCTGGGCTTATGAACACCTAACTAGCGGAGTTCAAATGGACATCGCCCCCTCCCCACCCCACCACAACAGAACACAGTAAACACACACATAAATTGTGGAAGCCATATGGATATATTACTTCTGGGTATTATTTATTTAATGCTGAGTTGAATACACTGATGTGCTAAGTATATAATTATAGGAGAACTGTGTCATGTTTTCTATTTTTTTTAATATGCCTTCAGCTATTGATTTTCGAATCCCGCTCCCCCAAGGCAAAGACTTGCTTCGCCACCTATACCATGTAATCCGAATCCCCCTCCTCCAAAGCAAAGACTCCCCTCGCCACCTATGACAGGTTATCATATTTGCTTTTTTTTTTTTTTTTTTTGAAATCTCTAAATTTTCACATTCCTCCCCCCCCCCCCTCCAGTCATAGACTCACTCCACTGCCTATGTATGTACATACACATATACACATATAAATTTATATGTACATATATATATTCATAAATACTTAATGTATGCAACAGGAGCTTACTTACATCAAACATTTTGAGAGCATTAACGTAGTCATTGGGATACCTTCGGCGCACAGAGCGTCTGGATACTGAAAAAAAAATCAATGCTGTACATAAATCTTGGATTGGATTTTTGTAACACAAGATTTTATATCGTAACTTTTCCATCTTGTTTAAAAAAATTAGTGAGTACTTACTACTGTCTTCCGGCATTTTTCTGCAGTAATCATAGTCATTTGCCTGCTTTAGCTCCCAATCCTTGACCATGGCATTCTCCACAATATCAAATACCTTTTTAAGTGTTAGGTGATCATTCTCAGATGACAGTAATTCAACACTTTTGTCAACCACACCTAAAAGTAAATATCAAATTACAAACATTATTAACTTTTGTTTACTATAACTGTACATGCATTCATTATGACAAAATACTGAAGAGTATTACCATGATGCTAGTACTTATCAATATTAATCAATAAGATCATTTAAGCCCTGTGATCTGGTTGACTTAACCATCACATCATGAAAAAATTTGGCTTAAGGAGTGGGTGAAGTGACCATGCTGTCATGGGATAATTTGGCTGTGGGCCAGGGCGATGCAAACTTGCTATTGTGAGCATTTTGGCTGAAGACCAGGGTGTCAGGGAAGACTCACCACAAGTGCACAAACCTCTTGGAGGATGATTAGACATATTTGATATTTAGGAAGGGACTTTTGCATTATTTCCACTGACAAACAAGTGTGGAATGTAGGGGCTGTGAGCCATGAAGTGCCAGCTCCAGGGAGGATACTATTTCCATACTCAGCATCCTATTCCTGGTTACCATGACTGATAGCACAAGTTGTATTACATAAATTCTGATAATATGAAAAAAAAATGAAACAGACAACACAATGTTACTTATTGTTATCATTTTGCACTGAGATATGGAGGAGTGAGTTTTTTTTTTTTTTTTGAAATCTCTAAATTTTCACATTCCTCCCCCCCCCCCTCCAGTCATAGACTCACTCCACTGCCTATGTATGTACATACACATATACACATATAAATTTATATGTACATATATATATTAATAAATACTTAATGTATGCAACAGGAGCTTACTTACATCAAACATTTTGAGAGCATTAACGTAGTCATTGGGATACCTTCGGCGCACAGAGCGTCTGGATACTGAAAAAAAAAATCAATGCTGTACATAAATCTTGGATTGGATATTTGTAACACAAGATTTTATATCGTAACTTTTCCATCTTGTTTAAAAAAATTAGTGAGTACTTACTACTGTCTTCCGGCATTTTTCTGCAGTACTCATAGTCATTTGCCTGCTTTAGCTCCCAATCCTTGACCATGGCATTCTCCACAATATCAAATACCTTTTTAAGTGTTAGGTGATCATTCTCAGATGACAGTAATTCAACACTTTTGTCAACCACACCTAAAAGTAAATATCAAATTACAAACATTATTAACTTTTGTTTACTATAACTGTACATGCATTCATTATGACAAAATACTGAAGAGTATTACCATGATGCTAGTACTTATCAATATTAATCAATAAGATCATTTAAGCCCTGTGATCTGGTTGACTTAACCATCACATCATGAAAAAATTTGGCTCAAGGAGTGGGTGAAGTGACCATGCTGTCATGGGATAATTTGGCTGTGGGCCAGGGCGATGCAAACTTGCTATTGTGAGCATTTTGGCTGAAGATCGGGGTGTCAGGGAAGACCACCACCACAAGTGCACAAACCTCTTGGAGGATGATTAGACATATTTGACATTTAGGAAGGGACTTTTGCATTATTTCCACTGACAAACAAGTGTGGAATGTAGGGGCTGTGAGCCATGAAGTGCCAGCTCCAGGGAGGATACTATTTCCATACTCAGCATCCTATTCCTGGTTACCATGACTGATAGCACAAGTTGTATTACATAAATTCTGATAATATGAAAAAAAAATGAAACAGACAACACAATGTTACTTATTGTTATCATTTTGCACTGAGATATGGAGGAGTGAGATATGATATGGAGTCTGTGCCAATGTTTTATTCACTCACTAAGGACCCCTGGGCAAAGGAGCAAATATAAATTTGCATGCTGTGTTTATGAATAGTGTATATCTTTTAATTTTTTTTTCGGTCCCTTAAGTACTTGCTGCTGGGAAAAATGAATAAAAATTGGGGAAAATGCTGTGCTCATTTTTATTTTTTTTGTGAAATGTCTCTGCCATAGATGGCTTTGCTAGTGCTTAGCCACAAAGGAGTCAATTAATAGAGCTTGTTACCTTACCTAACTTTACATTTCCTTGAATTGGCGAGAATATCAATGGTGTTATTTTTATCATAACAAGTATAATTACTATAATGTTTTAAACATTAGTAACAACAAAATAAGATAACAAAATATTTTCGTAAATCAAGGAAAAGGGTAAACAGGCGAGACAGGCAGTACTTGTAATAGGCTCATTGGTGACTTAGTACAAGTATAGCCATCTATGTATAAAAACAATTAGTTAAGTAAACTCACAGTCGGCATGGCATTTATGTACATGCCATGCCCACTGTGAGTTTACTTAATCAATTGTTTTTATACATAGATGGCTACACTTGTACTGTCACCAATGAGCCAATTACACTGTCAGTTAACCTTATTGATTGTTTACTCTTTTCCTTGAGTTTGTGCATTATTTTACATTATCTTATATATATATATCCTATATAAACTCCAAGACTTTAGATCAAGGAGATGTGTAAGAAGTTTAGAACTGAAAAATGTTTAAAACATATTGCAATAGAGCAGACTGCAAGTCAAAATTGCAATATAAAAAGTGTCAAAAATACTTAAACAATAGAAAAGGAGTCATGCTCATTGTTTCATAAAGTTAAAGAATTAAGAGTGAATGATCAAATAAGACCTCAGAAAGACTAGCTGGTAGAGAGAGGACTGTATTGTAATAAACTTGTGATGAAATATCAGAAGTCATTTTCATAGAACTTAGTAGAAGTAAAAAAGAGAGCCATTAAAAGGCTACAAGTGACCAAAAAAAACAATAATCTGTAGGATATGAAAAAATGGATCCAGTGAGTGATCATAAGATCCTTTGAAAAATGATGGAAGATTTAAAAATTTAGTGTTGCTGGAAAAAAACAAATTTGTATAAATAAAACAGGATATAAAAAAAAACAAGCAAAGAGCAAAAAACTGAAGCAAGCAATGTTAAAGAGAAAGTAACAAATCAACAGGAAAAGCACAAGAGCCAAACAGGTAAGCTAAAACAAAAAGAAAATGGATTTTTTTTTTAATATCCAAGCAAAATAAAGAAAAGTAAATGAATGGCTTAGACAGATTAATTGATTATTTAAAATTATTTGTCGCGTCAACAGCTAAGGTCATTAGTGGCGAATACCTTGTTAGGCTGAAGCATTAAAATATGTAAAATGTTAAAATTTATCAATAAATATTATAAATAACAATAAATATTATATTAAAAACCAAAGCATAAATATTATGCTCTAAATATATAAAAACTATTGCATAAACATTATGCACAATTAAATTTTATTGAAAATGTTAGTTTCCCTAAGGAAACTAATAAGACCTTCTATGTCACAATCCTCCCCCAAAACATTTTTCAATGTATATGGGGGAGACAAGTTCCTTCGTCTTTGGTCTGAGAATGTTGCACATCTTTCCACTATATGTGCGACCGTTAATGGCTCTTGGCATTCCTCACAGCGTGCTTCACTTTTAGCCATCATCGGCCCATGAGTCAGTCTTGTGTGCCCAATTCTCAGCCCTGTTAATACAACTTCTATTTTTCGGTTGGGATGGAGGCTTAGACAGAGTGCAATTAACAATAGATGATGAGGCTAAATTAGGAACTGTTAATCATGCCTGGAAACAGAAATTAAAATTACCAAAAATAGAAGAATATGAAAAGAGAAAAGACATTTCAAGCAAAAAGACTATTCATATACAATGTTGAAGAAAAAGGTAATAATAAAAAATACATAATTCAACTAGTTTACAATTAGATGGAAAGTGCTTTAAGAGAAGGTAAATATCTATAAGTGAGACCATAACCAACTAGCGTTAAACTACTGAAGAATGAAAAACAAAAATGGATGCTAATAGGGAAAAACACAAGAGCTCAAGAAAATAGAGAAATTATAAAGTATATTGATATCCACCTAACTGAAGAAACAAAAATAGAAGTGTGGTAAATCAACCTAAAGAAAACCTAAAAAATAATGGAGCTGGAGAGCAGCAATACATCACTATTGACAGACAATGGCACTGAACTTAACAGATTGCAACAAAATCAGCAGATGAACCTGATGAAATTTCTATAAAAAAAAAAAATGTAATGAAAAACTATAGCAAAAGACTTGTGATCTCAAGCCCACTGAAGGAGGGAAATATAATTCCTACTTACAATAGTGGAAATAAAGGTCGGACAAAATATTACAGACCAGTAACACTAACATATCACATAATTAAATTATCTGAAAGATTAGTAAAACAAAAAAGTCCAGTACCTATAACAAGAAAACATTCTAAACCCTGAAGAGCATGGGTTTCAAATGGGCAGCTCTTGTCCTGTCAGATCCTGTTGTTTTGTGAATTTTGTTTCGACAGAAATGGCTCCAAAAGCACTCAGTCATCCAAAGGACAAGCCATCATCTTAATGAAAATCCTAGTTGGCAAATTTTTCACCTTAATTCATTGCAAATTCGATTTTTCTACCAGTCTTTACTGAGTTAATTTTCAAAAAATACACAGAAGAAACACATGGTCTACCATAAAGAAATTGCATATGTTACCAAGGCAAAAAAGGGACAGAGCTAATAATGTCATCACATTTAGAAAATGATGGTGCAGTATACAATATCAGATATGGCCACATACATAATTATTTGTATAATATTGTTATAATCACCAGATTTATAGCAAACATTCCACTCTTTTATTTATGATAACAAAGTGTTCCATACTATAAACAGCTATCAATTACTCCAAAGAAAAAGTCATTTTCATATGTGGGTTCAATAAGCTTGGCAGAAGAGTTGCTGCCTGATTTATTTGTACTTGCAGACACCAAGGAATCAATTAGTAGACCGTATGTGTCTTGACTTGATTTCCCTTTTCCTTGAATTTTCAGGAAAATATTTTTTTTCCTAATGTCCCTAATACTGATATGGTTACTATTAATAGGAACATTATGAGGCAAATATTCAGAATACCTTTGCATGGCCAACATGATATTGGTATTGACAGATTCCTCTTACCCTCTACAAATGTATAGAAAATATGCCCCAAAAACCCACACAATACTCACAATCTTGGCCCTGATAGCAGGGCAGGGCATGAATAATACCTGGTCAATATACAATAAATGCAAGGGCTGTGCCCTGCATAACCCCCCCCCATAGGAAGCTGCTGCCCCTCAATTCCCACCCTGGACAACACAGAATCTACCACATATGTATGGTAGGACAAAATCGGAATCGGGCACTCCTACATGTCGGTTTCTTTATCTTCCACTGTGGGGGTTGGGAAGTAGCCCACCAGGAGGGGGTTGCAGGGGGACATATCCCCCTGCACTGGACAATATAGTGACTGATTATATGCATATTATTCATACTTTCCCTGCATTTTCTATGGTCAACAGCATTAATATCAAAAGCATGCAAAAAAAAAAAAAGCCCACTGAAGGAGAGAAATATAATTCCTACTTACAATAGTGGAAATAAAGGTCGGACAAAATATTACAGACCAGTAACACTAACATATCACATAATTAAATTATCTGAAAGATTAGTAAAACAAAAAAGTCCAGTACCTATAACAAGAAAACATTCTAAACCCTGAAGAGCATGGGTTTCAAATGGGCAGCTCTTGTCCTGTCAGATCCTGTTGTTTTGTGAATTTTGTTTTGACAGAAATGGCTCCAAAAGCACTCAGTCATCCAAAGGACAAGCCATCATCTTAATGAAAATCCTAGTTGGCAAATTTTTCACCTTCATTCATTGCAAATTCGATTTTTCTACCAGTCTTTACTGAGTTAATTTTTAAAAAATACACAAAAGAAACACATGGTCTACCATAAAGAAATTGCATATGTTACCAAGGCAAAAAAGGGACAGAGCTAATAATGTCATCACATTTAGAAAATGATGGTGCAGTATACAATATCAGATATGGCCACATACATAATTATTTGTATAATATTGTTATAATCACCAGATTTATAGCAAACATTCCACTCTTTTATATATGATAACAAAGTGTTCAATACTATAAACTGCTATCAATTACTCCAAAGAAAAAGTCATTTTCAGATGTGGGTTCAATAAGCTCGGCAGAAGAGTTGCTGCCTGATTTATTTGTACTTGCCGACACCAAGGAATCAATTAGTAGACCGTATGTGTCTTGACTTGATTTCCCTTTTCCTTGAATTTTCAGGAAAATATTTTTTTTCCTAATGTCCCTAATACTGATATGGTTACTATTAATATGAACATTATGAGGCAAATATTCAGAATACCTTTGCATGGCCAACATGATATTGGTATTGACAGATTCCTCTTACCCTCTACAAATGTATAGAAAATATGCCCCAAAAACCCACATAATACTCACAATCTTGGCCCTGATAGCAGGGCAGGGCATGAATAATACCTGGTCAATATACAATCAAATGCAAGGGCTGTGCCCTGCATAAGCCCCCCCATAGGAAGCTGCTGCCCCTCAATTCCCACCCTGGACAACACAGAATCTACCACATATGTATGGTAGGACAAAATCGGAATCGGGCACTCTTACATGTCGGTTTCTTTATCTTCCACTGTGGGGGTTGGGAGGAAGTAGCCCACCAGGAGGAGGTTGCAGGGGGACATATCCCCCTGCACTGGACAATATAGTGACTGATTATATGCATATTATTCATACTTTCCCTGCATTTTCTATGGTCAACAGCATTAATATCAAAAGCATGCAAAAAAAAAAATATATATATATATTCCCCAAAACTCAAGGAAAGGGAAAATACTATTTTATTATTTATCCTTCATATCTGGACCACTAATATGTAGATTTCTATATTAATTCCGTATTTGTGTAATTAACTCCAAGTTTTCCAGGATATATAAGATTAAATATTCCAAAGCAGGAAAAATCATATAATAGATGGACCAATCATTTGTGAGTAAAGCTTATGCTCACAACTCATTATAACTTCTCTTACCTAAGCTGCAAATAGACTGTGGTGCAGCTGACAGATCTAAAGTTGCCTGCTCTCCTGGCTGCACTCTGGCAGCTGACCATACAAGATTCACATCATTATCCAAGCATTTTTCTATGTCAAAGATCTGAGTGTCTGAAACAATTTCACCATCTGGACGTGTGTACCACACAACAACCTGGAAAAAGGGGTTTTCTTATCTGATTTGAATTTGCAACACAAAGTTATCACATAAAACAGCAGGAAAGACTTTGATGCTAGTAGAACATTAAATAATTTCAGACTAGATAATAGATGAAATTAATAATCAGAGTAATAAATTCTTGTAAAAGTGAGAAACTAATATATCCACATAAACAATAAATTCAACCAGTCGATACAACAAAAAGGTAGGACAAATATATGATTCTAGAAGTTTGCTTTTAGTTATGTCATTTAAAGAGAAAATTAAAGTATTCAGATAACTAATGTTTTGATAACATACAGGTCTAAGCTATGGAATATATTCTGCATTCATCAAGATTAACCCATTGCTGCCGGGGAAAATGAACAAAAAATGGGGGAAATGCAGTACTCATTTTTTATGTTTTTGTGAAATATTTCAGTCCATAGATGGCTCTGCTAGTCCTGATTTCACCTTTCCTTGAATTGGCGGGAAAAAACGTATTTTTACTAGTGCTATAAATATAGATGGTGCTATCTTTAACAGCAAATTAGGATAACGTTAAATATTTTCGTAAATCGATGATAAGGGTAAACGGGCGAGACAGGCAATACTCGTAATTGGCTCATTGGATACTTAGTACAAGTGTAGCCATCTATGTGTAAAAACAATCGAACAAGTCGACTCAAAGCGGGCATGGCATGTACATACATGCCATCCCCAGCGGCAATGGGTTAAACTAAAAATCTTGTATCAACATGAAAAGAAATTCAGACATACAAATAAATTACAGTTATAAAATAAGATAAAAGCTAAACCAGCTAACACTTTTTTTCAAAATACTTTAAAAAAAACTATAACCATTCATAATGATAAAACCAAATATTGCAAAATATATCTCATAAGTTTTCCTAGTTTAACCTCTCTCTATATAAAAAAAAACAAAATTCCAATAGGTTCTATGACAATGATCTAAACTATCTGACTTTTTTCTTTAAAATATCCCATAATATATTCTAGACTAAACTTTAACATTAAACGAGAACTGCTTCCTGTTTGTTCCACTTGCAGCATGGTGTCCTGAACTTGGAAGTTTTTTTGTTTTGGAAGACATTTGCATATTAAAACTCATTATACTGTATATGAAAATAAAAATAAGCTGCCATTTCCAGTGAGATAATAAAGAATAATATAAAAAGGTCATATCATCAAAGAGGAGCTAGTCACAATGAATACACATTAATGGCAAAATGACACATATGAAGAAATTACAGAAGAAATATGAAAATTTATCTATATAATGACTGTTATCCAACTTTTGCAATCATCATTACATACAAACCTTGGCTGAGGGTGAGGCTGTGTGAGGTAACTTTATTGGAATGTTAATAACTCCAATAACTGTATGTTCTGGGGGAGGTGGCAAGGGTTCTACTAGATGGTCTTCATTAATTGGTAAGTTACCAGATGATAGCTCGTACTCTGCTGAACTCGAGTACTGGATCTGACCTCGTGATACAACCTATGAAATACCAATGGAGGATTACACGATGTATATGAAAATTTTGTCTTTTGGCACATCATTGGTAAATGCAAGTATCACCTGGATGTTATTTTTAAAATCAATTATTATCATAAAAAAAAATTGTCTAAATGTAACACACAAAAAAACAACATACCTGAACAGTAAATGTAGCCCTTGTCTGATTCACAGCAGCAAAAAGGACTGGAATATCATGATCATGACCAGACACTTCACATGGCAGACGATTTCGAGGAACACGAATCACCAAAGATGAATTTGAAGGAGAATAATATTTTTTCAACTGATGAGAATATCTTGATTCATACATTTTTGAACGCCACATTGATGAACCTTTGACTTCTGGATAATTGATGGCTTTTATCTGGAATGTTATTAATTAATTATATCGTAGTTGGTATTTCTATGAACATAATTCTTATAATGTTTCTTTATATCAACTCAAAAGTTCCTCAAAATGTAATTCACTTACCTTATAAAGTTGATTCTTTGATATCAATCTTTTATCAATAGTCTATGTGCCTTTCCAGATATATTACAAAGTTTTCATTATGAATTTCAGCCTTTTGTGACAGGATGGCATGACATGTATGTCATGTCCACTGTGATTTTAATTTATTAACTGTGTCACCAAGGAGTCAAGTATTCGTCATATATTCTTTACGTGTTTACTCCTTTCCTTGACTTTTGGAATAGTGTTTCCCTAACAGTTATAATAATCATAATGTTAATTTTAATAGTAAAAATATCAACACATTGCCGCCTGGGAAAAATTTTAAAAAATGGGGAAAATGCTGTGCTCATTTTTTATAATTCTGTGAATTGCCTCTACACATACATGGCTCTGCCTTACCTGATTTCACCTTTCCTTGAATTGGTGGGAAAATGTGTTATTTTTATTATAAACATTATAGTCACTAAAATGTTATAAACATTAGCAAAAGCAAAATAAGATAACGTAAAATATTTTTGTAAATTAAAGAAAAGGGTAAATGGACGAAACAGGCAGTGCTCATAACTGGTTCATTGGGGATTTAGTACAAGTGTAGCCTAGTGTTAAAACAATCAAACAAGTCAACTCACAGTGGGCATGGCATGTATGTACATGCCATGCCCGTCGGGAATGGGTTAATATATAAAAAGGAAAAAAATCAAAGAATAAACTAATCAAATAAGGTTACGTAAGGCTTATTAATTGACCCCTTAGTGGCTGAATACTTGTGTTGCCATTTCTGCCCACCAAATTTACTAAGTACCCATGTACAAAGGATTATATAACCAGCAAAGTCCCTCATCTCTCCCTAGGGAAGCATTTCATGAAGTTACATCTCAAGACTAAATTTAATGTAGAACAGATATCTGCATAAGAGAAAATTCACTATTCAGTAACTAATTAACTGCAGTACTTTTTTGTGGAATGTCTCTGCTTATGCTGTATTTGGAAATCCTTGTCTTGCTCGTCCAGGACCAGCAGAACAAGACTGCATTCACAACTTCCGAGGATGGCATGTACATACATGCCATCCCCAAAGGCATCGGGTTACTACTTATTCTATCCCAAATTACATAAATGAAACCCTATTTCCTTACCTCAACACTGGAACCTGAATATTTTGGGATAACATATTTCAGAATGCCTTTAGATGAAGTACTCATGTTTCTGCATTGTCCACTAATACACACATTCATAGGTTCATTTGCAGCTGGTGTTTTATCTGGGAACACAGCCTTTACCTAGAAATGAGACATTAGATATATTCAAGAACCATGCCACATTCTGCAAATGTACTTGTAGTGTGCATGGAAGCATGAAATAAGAGTTCAATTGTCAAAAATAAATAGAAAAACTGGGAAAAAATAGAAATTGACAAAACTTGTGTATTACATTCACAATTAAACTGGGATTTAATTATTCATTTTATTTTATCTTATTATTATTATTATTATTTAAGCACTCTCAAAATGAAAGAGAATAAGCTTGAATAATACATAATCAACTGATCAGCATACCTTTCCAGTGAAAGGTAGGTTTGGTTTAATGTACTTTTCCTTGCCAATATACAAAAATTCCAGAGCTCTGCGGTGAATATCAGCTACTGCTTCACTATTGTATTCTTCACCTGTTCCATCTTCAGTTACAGTTGCTGTTAGACTTAACCTGACTGCAGAATACTCACTATCCCCAATATCATCAACTAGTACTTTTATTTCTTTGCAGCCTGATAACTGGATGTGGAAAACAGACATTAATTCAGTGTTCAATTATTAAGTAGTTCAGTTTTTAAGTAAGACATATACAAAACGAATTACTCATTGTGGTTTTTAGTAGTTTGTCTACAGTATGGTATCTTTTTATTGACTTTATACGATAACACCTTTTTCAACATACCTCACTGGTAACAGTATGCTTTTTCCTAGTAAATCTCCATCCATCATTCTCAATCACCAAAGTCACATTGCCTTTGACTGGCTGTCCAAAAGTGTATCTGAAATAAATATACTCATATTTTACATAAAAATCATATGCTTTCATCAAACTGTTTCAATATCTAATCTTAGTAACATTTTTTCTTGAAGCACCCCATTATCATTTGTCATACTTACTTGGCACATACAGTGAAAGTAAATTCAGTGTCTGTACGCAGTATATATTTGGGTGGCACCACAGTGACTTCAAAACGTGGAAGGACGTATTCTTCCACCTTGAATTCCTTAGTTGTTGATGGACCACCATCTTTTGCCTGGACCTTAATCCTGTATGTCCCCTGAAATACAGCACACAATTCTAAATTCTTTATCATTCATAATTTATTTGGCAATCATTAATGACACCATTTATATATTTCTCACGATTTGCATAACTTTATTTCATGTTTTACTCCACAAAATAGCATCATATATTCAAAAATGAGAAATAAGGAAAATTAAATCCTAAAATTTAGAATCAGATACAGACTTCACATGTAAGCACCCGATAAATAATGAAAGCATCAATGAAAATTTTATACTGACCCCTCCATTAATATCAAAATCTAAAAAAATAAACCTGACTTGCATAGCTTTACTCAAACTGGTTCCACATGAATTAACCTACTGTTGCTGCAACAGCAAGAATACAAGCCATCTTCTTTATTGTCTTTATGCATTGATGATTTCACAAGTCAAATCACTTGCTCACTCTCTTCCTTGATTTTCAGATAGATTCTTCTTTCATATCCAGCAGCAATGGGTTAAGCATTGTTTTCCCTATAAACAAAAGTCTAAGTGAAAAAGGTTAAATTTGAAATGTTCTTTTTTAGGAAATATCAATCAGCAAAGACATATTTTTATTACCTCTTCAGGTTCATCTGCAAGTTTGAATGTCTGATGTATAAGTCCTGCCGAGTTCTCCACATTGGTCCACTGGGCAATACGGCTTGACGATGGTGTCTCTACCCATATCAGAGGATACTGCAAGAAAAATATATTGCAAATTGCATATAAATAACTAAGTACATTGTTAACTAGTTAAGGTTTTTCTGATATCTAGTTGTGAAACTTTTCAGTAACACAAACTGATAATTAATTCTAAACATGGCTTAATCCTATTATCAGAATAAGCATATATCTTGGCAGCTACTATTTGAAATATCTTAAAATATTCTTGATAATTTGGCCTCTTTAAATAACAACATAAGTACATAAGAAAGAAAATATCACTTACAGTTTCTGTTGATATTTTTAAGAAGGGTCCTGCCACTGTGAGAATCCTAAACTGCACATTTTGACCCGGTTTATAAATGTATTTATCAGTCTGTATAAAAGTTTTCCTGGTGCCAGTAGCAAATAATATGGGCTTCAGATAATGAACCTTCTGGCCACCGAGTGTCCCGTTGACCTTAATCAGTCCCTGTTTGTGCAGAGTTACAGGCACAAATAGTCTATTACACAGTTCCTTTTCACCTGCAAGCAAATGACCAGCAAATCAGTTAACCAAACTGTTGCATGAGATTTCAGTTTAAAAGAAAGAGAAATTAATTAAAATATTATTGAAGAAGGAGAAGAAGAAGGACCAGGAGGAAGAGAAAGAGAGAGAAAAGGGAGACAGAGAGAGAGAGAGCGCGAGAGACAGCGAGAGAGAGAGAGAGAGTGAAAGAGACAGAGAGAGACTAAGACAGCGACAGACAGAGATAGAGAGACAGACAGAGACAGAGAAAGAAACAGATAGAGACAAAGACAGAGAGAGAAAAAAATAGAGACAGACAGAGAGAGAGAGAGAAACAGAGACAAAGAGTGACAAAGACAGAGAGAGGCAGAGAGAGACAGAGAGGGAGAGGGAGAAAGAGAAAGACAGAGAGAGAGGGGGGGGGGAGAAAGAAAGAAAGACAGAGAGAGACAGAGACAGGTAGAGACAAAGACAGACAGAGACTGAGAGACAGCGACAAAGAGAGACAAAGACAGAGACAGACAGACACAGAGACAGAGAGAGACAGGGACAAACAGACAGAGATAGAGAGAGACATAGAGATGCAGAGAGAGAGAGAGAGAGGCCGAGAGAGACAGAGGCAGACAGAGAGAGAGACAGACAGACAGACAGAGACAGACAGAGAAACAGAGAGAGAAAGAGAGCGAAAGACAGAGAGGGAGAGACAGACAGACAAAGAAAGAGAGAGAGAGAGAGAAGCAAAAAGACAGACAGACAGACCGAGAGACAGACAGACAGACAGAGAGAGAGGCAGACAGACAGACAAAGAGAGAGAGAGATAGAGAGAGAGAGACAGATAGAGAGACATACAGAGACAGACAGAGGCAGAGACAAATAGACAGAGACAGACAGAGAGAGAGAGAGAGAGAAACAGAGATAGACAGAACGAGAGAGAGAGACAGAAAGAAACAGAGAGAGGGACGAAGGGAAGGGGGGGGAGGGAGGGAGGGAGAGAGATGGAGACGGACTGACAGAGAGAGAGACAGACAGACAGACAGAGAGACAGACTGACAGAGAGAGAGACAGACTGACAGTAGAGAGAGACAGACAGACAGAGGGAAAGGCAGATAGACAGTCAGGCAGAGAGAGAGGCAGACAAACAGACATAGAGAGAGAGGGGGGGGGGAGAGAGAGGGGGAGAGGGAGAGGGAAGGAGGTAGGGAGGGAGGGAGGGAAAAAGAGAGAGAGAGACAGACAGAGACAGAGAGAGTGACAGACTGACAGAGAGAGAGAGAGAGACAGACAGACTGACAGAGAGAGACAGACTGACAGTAGAGAGGGAGGGAGGGAGATAGAGAAAGAGACAGACAGAGAGAGATGCAGACAGAGAGAGAGAGACAAAGACAGAGACAGACAGACAGACAGAGAAAAAGAGAGAAAGAGAGACATAGAGAGAGAGAAAAAGAGAGAGAGAGAGAGAGAGAGAAAGAGAGAGACAGACAGACAGAGACAGAGAGAGACACAGACAGACAGAGAGAGACGGAAAGACAAATAGAGAGAGGCAGAAAGACAAACAGAGAGACAGAGAGACAGAGAGAAACAGAGACAGAGACACAGTGACAGAGACAGGGAGGCAGATAGAGGGAGAGACAGACAGACAGAGGCACAGAGACAGAGACAAAGACAGAGAGACAGAGACAGATAGAGAGACAGACAGACAGACACACAGACAGAGAAAGAGAGACAGAGAGAAAGAGAGACAGAGAGAGAGAAAGAGACAGAGACAGAGATCGAAACAGAGACAGACAGACAGAAAGAGAGAGAGAAAAAGAGAGAGAGAGAGTGAGTGAGAGACAGAGAGAGACACAGAGACAGAGAGAAAGAGAGAGAGAGGGAGAGAGAGATTATAATGGTCTCTAATTCAATGTACAGAAATCCACCTTATTATCTGCTGGCAGAGCGTCTCTTAAGCTCGCACGAGGGCTCACACTATCTCCGAAGGAATTCGCTCGCCATTGTAACACACGATGACCAATCTTCAAAACACCGCCGTGAGTACACATTTTGGGCCTTCTCTTTTTCCTTTCTTCTCCATCTTCTCCCTAAATGTGTTAAGCCGTATGTACAGTCATGCTCACGTTAGGTTTGTTGGGTTAAAGTGCTAATTGACAGCAAATGGCACACTCTCATTCTTCTGACCTCACATCTCATTCTACTGTTAATCGCGGTAGAGAGTCAAACATTATGAATATCGTTCATTTATTAAGTGTTCACTTAAAATTTTCTCGTGATTAGAGAATTATATTGTTTCAATTGCAACGAATTTTGCACATTTATGATTTGATTGTTTTCATGAACATCACTCATTATTCCCCTTTTCTCATGACCATTTCCCGTCTTGACCTGACCTCGTTTGAAAGGCATTAGTCAGAGCCCACTTGGGACAGCTGGCAGCCCTAACCTCAGTTTCACTTTGAGTGAATGGCACGTAATATGGCTGAGAAATCTGCTTGCCATCCCCTTTTAATTGTTTCCTCTACTTGTTACAATATAGGGATAACGCATAGCAACCGTTAATGTTCATTGGTGACACGTTCTATCGGCGCTAGAACAGAGCTTGTAACGCGATTCGTATACATTTATATGTTTGAATATAACACCAAGGGATTTCTTCCCCAAATCATAGTCCCAGATTGCCTGATTACTTAGGGTTGCATTTATGCGTAATAGAACTGGAGTTCCGGTGTAATGATAGTAGGTTAGGTAACCAAAGTAATTTATACCCACGGCAAATTTTGAGAGAGAGAATGTAAAGGCTATATATTTGTCCTTAAACATTGGTGAACAGGAGTAGTAATAGCTTGATGGCTTTACTCTTTTTATTTTCTAACAGTACAACACACAGAGATATGAATACACACGAGTGACAATCTTGGATCAAGCGCGGTCAGCCTGGCAAGGGGGGGCGTAAGTGGCCCTTCAGGTCGTAGGCCAGGCGACCTTGACCGGACAAGCGCTGGCGACTAACTCTTTGACCGAGTCAAATGCGGTCCTAAAATATCCGATACTGCGCGTGGGCGGCGAGGGAGCGCCCACCCGCGAGGGCAGCGTGGCTTGGGGGGTGAGGGAGCGCCCACCAGCGAGGGCAGCGTCCAGGTCCTTCTCGGCTGTGTGTTTGTACAGACGTTCTCGTAATCTTCGTCAAGATCTACGGGCGTCCGGCAGGAAGCGTCCCCTTCGGCATCTCAGGGCGGCTGATACCTGTGCTGAGGAGCTCCTACAGTTTGACTGGATCTACCGTATCCAGGCAGGCGGCGCCCGTGCACAGCATCATGAGGCGACTGGTATCTGTGCTGGTGAGTTCCTGGTCCTTCCTGGATCTACGGGCGTCCGTTTCTGCAGCAGGGCCTTCTTCGGTACCATGTCAGATATCGTAAACCAGATTATATACATAAGGGCCAAGATAGTTAGAGAAAAGGAAGACACAGAGAAGAGGGGGGTGTTAAGTGCCACTAGCCGATTATTTTTATGGTAGGTAGTTATTTTCGTCTTTTTTTTCATTTTGTGTTTTACGTTCATAAAGTTAAAGAAGAAAATAGGAGAGGGAGACTCTCTTGATAGATGCGAGAAGTAAGGGAAACAACAATTGGCAACCGCTAAGGTTTACTTGAACCATTGTCGTAAAATACGAATTTTACACATCACAACTGACAAAATCGCGGGCAAAGAGACACTTACGTCTGCAACTGCGGCAGCAGTAAACCCTATTAATGAAGGTCTCAGTGTCTTTTGTTCTGCGTCGGTGAGTGAGTGACCGTGTGTATATTTGTGTGAGTGACGGTGAGTGGGAATGACAAATGAGAGTGAGAGTGACCTCACACAGAGCGGGAATGTAGCCAAACAGAGATTAAAGTTCATTCTACAACAATGAAATTAACTAGTTATAGACGTAATACAAAATTATTTCAACTACCACATTGAATTTAAAATTTAATGATATGCGACAGAATGATGTACTTAATGTATGGTGACGTGAAAATTATTTGCAAGCTCCTTCGCGAGCAAATCTTCTTGGGGACAATTTGCCGAGGTAAGTAAGTCTAACTGCGCATAAAGACTTCATTGACGGGGGGGGGGGGTCTGTACCCAAAAATACCAAACTTTATGAAGCGAAACGAGCTAGGAAAATTTATATCTATCTGTGGATCTATGATGGGCGCTCATGAAATACCCTACGCGGATTTATCATGAATCATGAATCGATGGGATTAACCCAAACATTCCAGCGACATTTAAAAGTGTGACCAAGGTGTGATTTATAAGTGAATCCTGAATCAAACTTAAACCCTAGTCCTAAATTAATTAATGGACATAAATTGCGGGTCACACGGCTCAAAATTCTACCGCCGATAGAACGTGTCACCAATAAACATGTAAAGGTTATGTTATCCCTATATTGTAACATTTAGAGGAAACAATTAAAAGGGGACGACAAGCAGTTTTCTCAGTCATTTCACTGTGTCAATCACTGAAAGCGAAAGTGAGGTCAGAGCTGCCAGCTGTCCCAAGCGGGAGCTGACTAATGACTTTCATGTGAGGTCAGGTCAAGACAGGAAATGGGTAGAGAAAGAAAATAATGAGTGGTGTTCGTGAAAAGAATGAAATCACGAACGC